AAAAAATACAACTAAAATATATTAGCCATGATACTTTCATTTATTTGTTATGCTATATTGCAGACGGGAGAACAAATTACTCATATGGCTCAAGGCGCTATTGACGGTGTGAAGAATACTCTTGGCATGGGCGATAAGAAGTGATTTGATTACTCGAGATGAAACATTTATAAGATGATGATATTTTGATCTATTTTCATATATATTTTAGTGTGACGCATTTCTTCCTTCGTGATATTGTTGTAATAAGAGAATCCGACAAAACAATGTATGGATTATGAGAATATAGGTTTAGGTTAGGTTATGTGTATTTTTTAATTTTTTTTTCTTTAAAAATAATCTTTGGTTGAGAATTTTCGTATTGAAAGTTCCATCAAAGGTAATAAAGTGGGAAAATTCTAAGGTGCCCGTTGCTAGTTTTAACGGCACAATTTCCTTTCATTTTCAGCCAATAAAAAATTTTTCCATGTACACTGTGATTCCTAGTAAAAGCTCATTGTCTTATACTATTGTTTCATCCTATTTATTTATTTAATTTTTATATTTATGCCATACATATAAACATTAAAAGTTGTGCATCTTAATTAAATAACTTGGCCCAGGGCCTAATTGAAGAAAGGAGCACCAAGCTATATGAGATATGTATATAATAAAGGCCAATAAAAGTTAGTATAGGGCTATGTAAAACTTAATTTATTGGGCCATTTAAATATAAGAAAAAGCACCCCTTATAATTAATGTTAACGTACATATTATATAGGCTATGTTTGGATAACAACGTTTTCCACCAAAATTAGCTATTTCTGGATTTTGGCTTATTTGACTTTTATGAGCAGCTAAAAATAATATTTGGTTAACAGCTTTTCATTTCAGCTTATTTGCTCAAAACACTAAAATTCAAAACGCTGGGCCTTGTTTGGTAAAATGGCGTTTTGCCATATTTTAGCTTTTTGGGTAAATTAGCTTTTTGACTTTTTCAAATTCAAGCAAAAAGATGTTTGGTAATTAGCTTTTGAGGTTAGCTTTTTTGCTCCAACAGCTAAAAATGAAAACGCTCAATTTTGGAGCGTTTTGCACTTGGCTTTTCAGACAATTAAATGTTTCTCCCATAACTGCCCTTTTATTTCTCTCTAAATTTGCAAATAGTGGTGTTGTTGGTACATGCTTAATTTGGGATATGTTTATGGAATTAATGATTGCCCATTAGTGCTCGAATTTATTCCCAGTTAATGACCTTTTACAAAATTACATTAGGAGACTTGTTTATAAGTGTAGTGAGTTATTATTTATATTTTTATTTTATTTTAGTCACTTTAATAAATATTTAAAATGTTAATTAATTTTATTTTCTAAATAAATATAAGCTCACATAAATAAGAATGATAAAATTTGTTGATGTCCTTATAAGTAATTTTACATGTTAACAGCTAATTGAAAATAACTAACCAAACACTCTTTTAAACGCTAACACAATCAGCTGGTCAAATCATCTAATGCAAACAGCTAACAGCTAACGGCCGATTACCAAACAAGGCCTATGTATTGAAGCATTTTGATATGGCTTTTCAGCTTTTTTTGTACAAATCAATACATGTGGGTGAAATTGTCCCTAATTTAATGATAAAATTGCTGAAGAAGTATACTGTTGAAATATTTGTGGGTAATTTGTTGGAAAATTTACATTTCAGCAAAATTGCAAATAATTACTTGTGCACCATTTAATAGAAAATCTGCCCCTAATTTAAATTTCAAAATTTCAATTTAAAAACAAATTCAAACATCAATTCCAATATTTTGTTAAAATAAAACTGAAATTAATTTAGTATCCGATAAGAAAACTAAATTCAATCGTATGGTATAAGAACGAGTCAGATGTGTTGTCGCAAAAAAACAAGTGAAACCGAGCAATTTTCATAGAACAACAGACGCCAATAAATATTGCTCGAACAAGTGAAAAATATGTTTTATTTAGATGTGTTTTACAAATAAGTTGTATACCATTGATTGAATTAAATTTTAATGGAAATTTAATATCATACTTATTTTTTGTTAATATTAAAATAATACATAAATATTTGTGTTTTAACTTTTACCTTTATAAATATCTACACAAAAGTAAATGTTAAGTATGTTGATGTCCTTATAAGTAATTTTACATGTTAACAGCTAAATAAAAATAACTAATTTTACCAAACACTCTTTTACAAACCGCTAACACAATCAGCTAGTCAAAACAACTAACACAATCCACTGGTCAAAGCAGCTAATGCAATCCGCTAACAGCTAACAACTAACCGCTGATTACCAAATAAGGCCATAGTTATCTGCCCGCCATCTAGACTTTTCCTTGTCTATATTGATGAGCTGTCAGACTTATTGGCACTTACATTCACTAAATTTTAATTAATTACGATTTTACGTAAAATCATATTTAATGAAACCTAATTAATTAACTACAAGTTATATAGAAGGAGAAATCAAATTAAAACAGTACTCTTTTCTCTTTCATAATTCCATAAATTGTGCCAAAAACTGTAATCGTAATGCTAACTAGATAGAAAACCGATATTTTTTTAAGACATTTTGTTTTTTTCATTATAAGTGTCAAACCGCAATTGCAACAAAAATCGATATTTTTAAGACATTTTTGTTTTTTTTCTTTTTTGTTTTTTTTCTTTCTTTTNCACTGAAATAATATCTACATGAATAAATAAATAAATTACATGCTATTAAAAAATACAGATTTTTTTTTCTTTTGTATTGAATAAAAAAATATATATAAAAGAACGATATATTACTATCCTATGAGAAATTATTAAGTTCATACACATAATTTTTAAGTATTATTTATTTAATTATAATTGTATGACAAATTATTAAGCCTATGTACATGCATATATTTTTAATTTATTGTCTCTATTTGATTATTGTTTTATGGTATTTTGAGGTAATTGTACTTATATATTTGGTTTATTTTGATTTATTGTTATCTAATTATTATTATACGATAATTGTTGAGCCAATAATCATATACATATACATATATAGGGAATGGTTCAGATGCGCCCCGTTTTTAAAAGTGAGGACGTGAGACCTGATCTGGTCTGTTCACCACTCATCTAATCTAACGTTCAGAATTAATTTATTACATTAATCAATATTTTCGATTTCGCGGTACGTCTTCAGAACTCTATACTCTACTTTCCCTCTCCATTTTCGCACTTGCTCCTTGTTTATGTTCCATTCTCTTCTATTTTCGATTTTGATTTCGATTCCGCGGGCGGTACGTCTCAATTCCTGTTTCCGTTTTATCCTTCGTAGTCTATTCTCGCAGATTCTCGTCTTAAATTGGTGAGTATTTTTGCTGTTGTTTTTGTTTGTAATAACTTTTTCGATTTTAGGTTTTTCATTCTTTCATTTAATAGACTAAAGTAATATGTTTTGGTTATTTTTTGTTAGGTTAGCTGTCTGATGC